AATTTCGGGACCAGACAACTTTCTTACCGGCTCGGCAGATATCAATGCTCCTGATGTCTGGATTGCTTGCTAATGCCCGGAAGAGAGTGATAGCCTGAAGTCTGATAAAAGAAAGAGTCTTTCATAGAAGAGATAGAGATAGGTCCTTGGCTATAATAGCTAATAGGCTCGGCTCGCTACTGACTGATGACTTTCTTTCACTAGGTATGATACTGCGGTAAATGATGAATCAAGAAGGGAAGAAAGGCTGTCTTAGCCTCTGACTCCACATCCGTAAGAAGCCCAATATCGAATCTCCTACTCGTAAAAAAAAAAAAGAGTATGACTTCGTACCTCTCCTTTCAGTCTAGTGACTTCCTTTTGGGATAGTACCCAGGAAAAGGATGTCAAGACCTCACTCTAATATGGAATGTAGGCTAGGTCAATCAACTTCATTCACCCAAAGGAGGGAGGAAGTGATCGATGTCGTACTCGGTCAAATAATTAAAACAGATAAATGTAGTACTAGGAAGCTTTCCTAGGTCGTCTCGCAAAGAGCACAAATTTCTATCAAAGATTATCAATTTTTAGTAACAAAAAATTAAAAGGGGAGTTTTTCAAAATAAAAATATTAGATAAAACAGAATAAAAGCAGATTATAAAAATGCGGATTAAAAACAAATTAAAATGCAATTGATTTCCTGATTCTAATGCAGTGTCACTTATCCTACATTACGAAATTAATTCGAAATTAACCAACTAAGCGAAGATAAATCCCAAATTATATTCTAATTCGAAATTAATTAACTAAGCGAAAATTGATCTCAAATTAGCTTTAACCCTTGTTCCAATATGAAATTAACCAACTAAGCGAAGATTAATCCCAAATTTTCCTTAACCCTTATTCCAACATAAAATTAACCAACTAAGCGAAGATTAACCCCAAATTATCCTTATACAATTAAGCATTGCATACATCACATAATCTCATCTCTAACACAGAATTAAACAAACTGTGATATTAGTTTCGGTTTATTAAACATAAACAGATTATAATTCAATACTAAGATTAGAAGATGAAGAGTTAAGAGAACAAACAAAATGAAATTGAAGAACAAAACCTCAAACATCTACTTGCATTCTTCTCAAAAAATCAATACAAAGATTTAGCTATCCATGGCAAGTTGAAAACGCAATAGAAGAAACATAATTAAAATCGAAACAAGAATTTAAAAATAATGACAGAAGAGTAAACAAACTTGAATATAAATTGCAGAAGATGAAAGGTGGAAGTGTGGTGGCTGCGTAGTCCTTGTGTGATGTGTTTTTTTTCGTGTGATGTGCCTCTCTTATATAAATAACCCTAACCCTAATCTTAATCGAGGTTTGGGCTCAACTAGTCCATGAAACACATCAGAAATTGGCTTCAGTGCAGGTCCATGAACTTCAAACATGTGCAGTATTGAAAATACTTATCCAAATTAATCGATTTTGGTCTCCTTTAAAAGTATTTTGAGCTAGCTTTAAGACGCCACTGTTTCTACTATTTTCGGAGCTCTAATGAATTTAGGAGACTTAAATTACTGAAGCATGTCCATTGGGCCGGCCTGGTGCGCTTGACCCGTTTTGGATAATTTATGTAAAATCCAATTTAGCTTCGAATTGAATGATTTTGGATCCTGTGGAAAGATCAATGTGTCTAGTTTATAATTATTTTAGAATCATGTTATTTGGAGATCTGTAGAAAAAATGATAAATAAAAAAATAAACTAATGTCAGTACCCGTATAAAATAAAATATGACATTTGACCCAATTTTTCAAGTCCAAAATTGCTTTAAACTGTCCTAAAATTAATAATGAGTAAAAATTAGATCAAATAGATTCAAATTAATTAAAATCTAAATTATTGGTCCAATGAAGCTCAATCAATGAAAATGCACTAATAATAGACAATTAAACACAATGCACAAATTAAGATAAGTATATAAAGATAAGAAAATGCGGGAAAATAATGACTCATCAAATTCCCCCACACTTAGCCTTTTGCACTCCCGGGCAAAATCAAGAAGCAAAGCAAGGAGCAATTCCAAAGACATCGAAGAGAGTGACATAACAAAAAGGAGCAAGAACAAGAAGACACACAAAACACAAACAAATTTACACAATCCTTAATGAATCCTGGGAAAAGAAAGGAGTAGACAACATCCAACACACAAAGAGTCAGAGGAACCAGATACTCATGGAAATCATCCAAGCATTTCAAAACCTGGCAAGAGGTCAATCAGGTCAAAAGGTGAATCAAAGTGACAAAACCTCACAAGATTGCATTGTATCTCTCATGTGTCTAGGCTACTGTATACTCTCAAAATACTCAAGAAAAGCAGACAACGAGATAGACTTGGCAAGCCTCTAAACTCAACACCCAACGCACATGCACAAAAAGATCAAAAGGTCTTTTTAGGTTGTAATGGGGGTAGGGACAAGGTAGAGGATATCATATGGGATAAGTAGCTGTGAACCGGAGGAACTAGAGGAGCAATGGGGAATAAGAAAAAAATAAGCACAAGATGCATGCCCAAAAACCTCTAATATCAAACCTCTAATATCAAACCTCCTCTATTGTCTTTTGCCTCAACCACAACTTTCCTTTCTTCTTCTTTATTTATTTTTTATTTTTATATATATATATATATATATTTATATATATATATCTTCTTTTTTTTTTAACTACATGAAATACACCGAAAGGAAAACACAAAAACTATACAGCAGAGATAACCAACTAGCCAGTACATCATCCAATGAAATACAAAATGCACCCCCACACTTATTCAATAACTTATTCCCAAAACAATTCCAAAGCTCCAAAAATCCCTAAGGTTAAGGTAATCATGGTTTTTCACTTAAGGCTTTTAATGAGCTTCAAAAGAAATAAAGGGAAACATAGGCTCAAAGGGGCTATCAAAGGAATTAATTCAAGGTAGGCTCATTTGGCTAGAGGCTAATTAGAACAAAAATGCCTTAATCATCTCCAAACATGCATGTGAATCAAGAAGTATCAATCAGAGTCAAGCCAAGGCTACTGCGCAAGCAATCAAGAGGCATAACACTCAAGAAAGAATAGGTAGTGGCTCAATTCCTCACAAAGGGTAAGATTGTCGCCTTCAATTCAACCTCTCAAACATCGTAACCAACTTGACAAGCAGAGAAAAACAGGGATTTCAATCCAAAAAGCATAAAGCAACTCCTATCTAAGAGTGAAGAAAGTACCCAAAACCTAAACAAAACCCAGAGATCCAAAAGAAACATGCAAATTGTACACAAAACACGAACCTGAAATACAAAGAAAACTAAAAATCCTAAACAAAGAAAATAAAGAACAGTCTCCCCCACACTTAAACTACAAATTGTCCCAATGTAGCATAACATCAAATCAAGCAATCAAATCACCAATTGGACAAGTGCAGTAAAAGTAAAGAGAAGGAAAAAAAAGAACTCCCTAAGTCATGGTGGAAGGTAAGTGGGATCAATCGGGGATATCTCCTCCACAACTACATCCACTAGAGAAGGATTCGCTGAGGAATGGTTTCAGTCGATGGCCATTAACCTTGAAGCTATTTTACGTGGATTCACTTTTAATTTCAAGCTGCACCATAAGGATAAACATTAGTAACAATAAAAGGTCCAATCCACTTTGAACGCAACTTACCACCCATGAGACCCAATCTGGAATTGTACAATAGCACTTGTTGACCAACAAAGAACTCCTTCCTAGCTATGGAGCTATCATGAAATCTCTTAGTTTAATCTTTGTAGAACATGGAGTTCTCATAAGCTTCCAAACGGATCTCATCCAATTCATTTATCTGTAGCTTCCTTTCCTCTCCAGCTTCATCAAGTGAGAAGTTGCATGATTTCATAGCCCAATATGCTCGGTGCTCTATCTCCACTTGGTAGGTGGCATGGTTTACCAAAGACAACCCGATAGGGAGACATCCCTATAGGTGCCTTGTAAGCAGTCCTATGCATGCATGTGGATGGGCTGATACCAGGAATGTCCGCCAAGGTCCAGCCGATGGCTTTCTTATGCCTTTTCAGAACATGCAACAATTTCTCCTCTTGAACAACATCAAGGGAGGTGGAAATGATCACTCGGAAACTTCTCATCATCCTCCAAATAAGCGTACTTGAGGTTTTACGGTAAAGTCTTTAGTTCGGAGTGGGTGCTAGGCTGAACAGAAGGAACCAAAGAGGGAAGAAGAATGGGTTCCACGACCTGTACCTCGACACTGCAAGTCGATTCATGTATACTTCTCGCAACATGGTTAGTGCATTCGACTCTAAAGAACTTATATCTATAGGAGGTACAACACCCAAAACATCGGACATATGATCAGATTTAAATTCAGAATATAACTCAAGATTAGAATGAAGATCAATGTCAATATCAAAATCGGATTCGGATTCGGTGCATGCAAAAGAAGTATACGAGATCAGAAAGAAAACAATGTTTCCTAGCATGTAAGGAATGAAAATCGAAACATACTCATCAATAACATCATCAATGATCTCAACACGAAAAACAGAATGACACTCGGATGGATGTTTCATGGCATCCAAAATATTAAAATGGACAATAATATCACCAAATTCCATGGACAATGTACCATCATACACATCAATCTTGGTTCGGGCTGTTTTCAAAAATGGTCTACCTAAAATGATTGGGACAGATCCATGGGAGAATCCCTCCTCCATATCAAGCACATAGAAATCAGCGGGAAAAATGAGTTCACCAACCCGAACTAAGACATCCTCAATGAAACCCGTAGGGTGGGCTACACTCCTATTTGCCGGTTGTATCACCACACCCGTAGGTTGCGAGAGGTCCAAGAGATAAAGAATTAAAAATGGACAAAGGCATAACATTAATTGAAGCACCCAAATCAAGCATGGCATTCTCAAATTTATTATTGCCAATAATACAAGGTATGCGAGAATGTACCTGGGTCCTTACATTTCTCGGGAATGTAAGGAACAGATTTACCTATCAAAGCGAGACACATTTACGCCCATGCCGATTATCTCACTGCCCTTCATCTTCCTCTTGTGGGTGCATAGCTCCTTCAGGAATTTAGCATATCCGGGAATTTGCTTGATGGCATCAAGCAGAGGTATGTTCACCTCAACTTTCTCGAAGGTCTCTAGAATCTCTTTATCGACCTCTTCCATCTTTTTGCTTGGAATTGCTTTGGGAGGGAATGGAAGAGGGATAGGAGGTCTGTTGCGAGTCGGAAGCTGAGGCTGGAAGAAGGTCCATCTATATGCAAATTTTGACTACCAACTAGTTGCTCGGGTGCGGGAACTAAGGTAGCTACGAGATGAGGGTGGAGGTGTTGCGGTGGGTATGTCAATCTGTTTCCACGACCTCAATGTGATGGCACTCACATTCTTAGGATTAACCACGATACTGTGCGGGGAGCTTGTCCGAATTTTGATTTTGCAATTGATTCACGACGGTAGCTAGTTGACCAATCTGGTTGGTTAAACTGCGAATGGAGGCATCATTTTTACGTTGGTACTGTATGTTCATCTCGGCCATTTGTTTGACCAATTCCTCTAATGAAGGTGAAGAAGGTTGAGGAGCTGGTGCTTCATTTGCTGCCTCGATATTGTTGTTGCATTGGTGGAGGCACATAAGGTGCGCTTGGACCGGCAGAATTCGAAATGGTGGTGGTGGCAAAGGATTCTGCTGTTGTTGGTGTTCGCTGATTGGACCATCTCGGATTTGGGTGATTCCTCCACCCTGGATTGTATCTATTGCTTGAGAGGTCAGAATTATGTTGTTGGTTCGGAGCCCTATTAATGAAAATGTTTGCTGCATAAGCTTGTGGAGCTCAGAACACTGTAGACTCATGCAATAATTGGCGAGCAATCAGTGGGATGCTCAATTGAAGTACAAATGCCACAAACCCTTGCAGGTGGTGCGGGTCTCGATTTGCGGCAAGTTGGGAGACTAGGGTGGTGAGGGCATCAATCTTACTTTCTAGCTTCTTCTCCACTAAATCCGATGAACCCACATCATGTACACCTCTAAGGACTATGGCATCACTCCTCATGTTAAATTGTTGGGAATTGGATGCCATCTTCTCAATTAAATCTCTAGTAGCAACAGGTGTCATGTCTCCTAAAGCTCCTCCACTAGCTTCATCTATCATACTCCTATCCATTGTGTTCATCCCCTCATAAAAGTACTACACTAGTAGGCTGTTCGATATTTGGTGGTGAGGGCAACTTGCACAAAGTCTCTTGAACCTCTCCCAATACTCGTATAAGCTCTCTCCCATCCGTTGCACGATACACGATATATCCTTCTCGATGGTAGTGGTCCTGGAAGCGGGGAAAAATTTCTCTAGAAAGACTCTCTTCGAGATCATCCCAGCTCGTTATGGAACCAGGAGCTAAGTAGTACAACCGGTCTTTGGCAAGATCCTCCAAAGAGAAAGGAAAAGCCTTCGGGTATATGTGATCTTCGGGAACATTTTGTGGCTTCATGGTGGAGCAGACTATATGGAACTCCTTGAGATGCTTGTGTGGATCCTCACACGCACGACCATGAAACTTGGGCAACAAATGGATTAGTCCAGTTTTAAGCACAAATGGTACATCCTCTTCGGGGTATTGGATACATAAATTTGCATAAGTGAAATCGAGGTGCAGCCATCTCCACGAGAGTCCTCTCACGAGGTCCAATAGGTTGATCACCCATGTTATTAGTTTGGAAATTATCGGAAGAAGGTATATTAGGTGCGAGTACTCTCACTATGACTATCTAATGGTTCGGACTCAAGAGATGAATTCCTAGAATGTCTAACTAATCTATGAAAGGTTACTGTCTATCTCGGGATCAAAAGGTTGTAAAAGGTCGGGATTGCTCCTAGTCATGCACTATATTCAACAATTCATGTATTTCCCAAGAGTTAAAAAAAAATTCCTAAAAATAAATCGAGTTGTTTACTTGGAAAGACAACGGTAGACCATGAATAAGTACACCAGGTAGGTTCCCAGGAAAGAGAGGTGGGTCACTAATGGACACGCTTAAGTACCAAATCTTTCCTAGCGAGAACCCTCCTAAACATGCACTCTCACACTACCAAGCTATATCCGAGTTTCCTATGAGAATGGAAATTATAATTTTTTTTAAATAAAGCTAGAAAAACAAATTAGAGATGAAATTGTTTTTTTTTAATTATTATTTATATATCTTTTTTTATTTTATTTTTATTTTTATTTTATTTTATTTTATTTTATTTTTTAACCAAAAGAGTTTTAGAACCACAGTGGGCTATCAAAATAGTATTAAGAGAAGTAAGAATTTTAAATTAAATAACTAAAAATCAAATAAAATATTTAAATAACTAAAAATCAAATAAAATATTCAAATAACTAAAAATCAAATAAAATATCCAAATAACGACAAATCAAATAAAATATTCAAATAACTGAAAATCAAATATTAAATAACTTAAAATCAAATAAAATATTCAAATAACTGGAAATCAAATAAAATATTAAAAACTAGCAATCAAATAAAATATTCAAATAACTCGAAAATCAAATAGAATATTTAAATAACTAAAAATAAAATAAAATATCTAAATAACAACAAATCAAATAAAATATTCAAATAACAACAAATCAAATAGAATACTAAATAACTAACAATCAAATAAAATATTAAATAACTAACAATCAAATAAAATATTTAAATAACTGAAAATCAAATAAAATATTTAAATAAAATAAAATAAAAACAAAAAAATGAAAACAGAAAACGAGAAAATAAAAATTGAAATCCTAGACAAAAATCTTGGTCCCCAGCAACGGCGCCAAATTTGATCGATGTCGTACTCGGTCAAATAATTAAAACAAATAAATGTAGTACTAGGAAGCTTTCCTAGGTCGTCTCCCAAAGACCACGAATTTCTATCAAAGCTTATCAATTTTTAGTAACAAAAAATTAAAAGGGGAGTTTTTCAAAATTAAAATATTAGATGAAACAGAACAAAAGAAGATTATAAAAATGCGGATTAAAAACAAATTAAAATGCAATTGATTTCCTGATTCTAATGTAGTGTCACTTATCCTAGATTACGAAATTAATTCGAAATTAACCAACTAAGCGAAGATAAATCCCAAATTATATTCTAATTCAAAATTAATTAACTAAGCGAAAATTAATCTCAAATTAGCTTTAACCCTTATTTCAATATGAAATTAACCAACTAAGCGAAGATTAATCCCAAATTTTCCTTAACCCTTATTCCAACATGAAATTAACCAACTAAGCGAAGATTAACCCCAAATTATCCTTATACAATTAAGCATTGCATACATCACATAATCTCATCTCTAACACAGAATTAAGCAAATTGTGATATTAGTTTCGGTTTATTAAGCATAAACAGATTATAATTCAATACTAAGATTAGAAGATGAAGAGTTAAGAGAACAAACAACATGAAATTGAAGAACAAAACCTCAAAGATCTACTTGCATTCATATCAAAAAATCAATACAAAGATTTAGCTATCCATGGAAAGTTGAAAACGCAATAGAAGAAACATAATTAAAATTGAAACAAGAATTTAAAAATAATGACAGAAGAGTAAACAAACTTGAATATAAATTGCAGAAGATGAAAGGTGGAAGTGTGGTGGCTGCGTAGTCCTTGTGTGATGTGCCTCTCTTATATAAATAACCCTAACCCTAATCTTAATCGAGGTTTGGGCTCAACTAGTCCATGAAACACATCAGAAATTGGCTTCAGTGCAGGTCCATGAACTTCAAACACGTGCAGTATTTTCAATACTTATCCAAATTAATCGATTTTGGTCTCCTTTGAAATTATTTTGAGCTAGCTTTAAGACGCCACTGTTTCTACTATTTTCGGAGCTCTAATGAATTTAGGAGACTTAAATTACTGAATCATGTCCATTGGGCCGGCCTGGTGCGCTTGACCCATTTTGGATAATTTATGTAAAATCCAATTTAGCTCCGAATTGAATGATTTTGGATCCTGTGGAAAGCTCAATGTGTCTAGTTTATAATTATTTTAGAATCATGTTATTTAGAGATCTGTAGAAAAAATGATAAATAAAACAATAAACTAATGTCAGTACCCGTATAAAATAAAATATGACATTTGGCCCAATTTTTCAAGTCCAAAATTGCTTTAAACTGTCCTAAAATTAATAATGAGTAAAAATTAGATCAAATAGATTCAAATTAATTAAAGTCTAAATTATTGGCCCAATGAAGCCCAATCAATGAAAATGCACTAATAATAGACAATTAAACACAATGCACAAATTAAGATAAGTATATAAAGATAAAAAAATGTGGGAAAATAATGACTCATCAAGAAGTTAACGAACACTAACACAAAGAAGGCAGAGACGGGGTAGGTAGTGTGTCAGGAGAAAAGAAGACTGTGCCCGAACATAAGGATTTGCTGCTCGCTACGCCCCTTACTCTTATCCCGGATAAGGCGCATCTCTTCGTTTTTCTCCTTTCTACAATAACTCATTTTCATTTCGAGATGCGAATAAAATAGGAGACTTTTATTTATTTTATTTTAGGATCTCTACTTCCTTAATCTTAATCAAAGTGTGGAAATTAGCCTTCGTAAGGCCGACGCCTAAACCTTAATTAATAAGGAGCGAAGCGGAAAGACTTTCTTTCAAATAATTCCATTTCCTTTCTAACCAAGCCATACTTACTTATGCAAATAAGCGCATCGTATTTGAAATGTTCTCTTGGTGCCAAAAATTTTATTAACTGTAAAAAAGAAATACCCTTTCACGACCGCAGAGGAATTCATTCTTCTTCCTATATTCGGAGAGCCCTTTCCTTTCGCGTGGGCGTAGGAAAGATAAATTCCCAGTCGAAGGTCAAATCCTAGTAATACGGACTTTGTTGCAGCAGATGAAAGCTGCGAATAAGAGAACTGCGACAAGAGAGCAATTCTTGCCCCTTCTAACTCCAACCCTGACAGTGAGACCAGTCGAGCCATTTCATACCTGTCTCTATTCCCTATCAGTCGACTTTGTACTCGCTTCGGTCGAGCAACTACGTACCTCTTCTTGGCAGTCGAGTAAGAGGAAGTCAAGCTGACACCAATATTGAACTTATGCATTTCTCTTTCTTTACATAGAGGCGATTCTTCCTTAATACCTTAAGGTCCGGAGGTGGCCCTGACGAATGTTGCTCGGGATGCACCGTGGACTGAGATTGTAACTAAACCGACTCAAATAACGAATACCTATGACTGAACTAGTCACTTGACTGCTAAACCGAGGATGTTGACTTGGTTGCAAGCAAAGACTAGGTCATTGCACATACAACTCTTATTGGTTTTAACACAACTCTGCTATTAGAATAGATAAATTGGTATGAAACCGAAAGCCTAACCTGGACTGCTAACAACTTCTTCTAAATCATGACAGTAGCGGAAGAAGACACCAAAAGAAAAGGAAATTCCAAGGATCAAAGGCACTCGGGGCAGGCGACTAACCCCTCCGAGGACGGTCGGGCGATTAAAGAATGCAACTCCTGGGCTTCCGGGGCAAGGAAAACTATGTCCACTCAAAAGCTCTCATTCTCGGCCAAGTCCGAAAGCAATGCATGAAAAGGCTCACGAAGGCTTTCCCCGATGCACAGACGAGAGCTACTCCCAAATTTGGATTGAATAGTCAATGTCTTTAGTAATTTAATCATTTAAGCCCTTTCTTTTCTTGCAAAATAGAGAAAACCCCGTACCCCGATCTAGGCTTCCAAACTACTATTCCCGGGAACACATCGTAACGAATGGCAAAAAGAGAAGGCGAAAGGGCTCGCCCCCGAATCAAAGGGCGACAGTGAGTCTAATTCTATCATGGCAGGGTACAGCTTCAGACAGCTCACTGGCTAAATCGTATAATATAATAGGGCATTTCGAGGAAGAACTCATTTATGTCGAGAATAGAAATGACTTTCTTTCTTTGGGACTTTTATTGTCTACCTATCGCTTAACACAGAATGTTCAGATGTCGGCCCCTACTTGTTAAGTAAGGCGAGAGTCAGTGCCTTCCCCAACGTTCAGTGGAACGTGAGGCACTCTTTATTTTATTGGCTTTTAGGCAATGAAGGGGCTATTCCCACTTGGATTTTCCTCAGCCAGCCAATGCTAACTTAGCATCCTTACCATCAGAATCCGCTAAATAAGGAAGTAATGAGACGAACTGATAGAAGAAAGAACTCAACGAAGCCACGGAAGCTTGGGCTGATGCTATTCCTGCTCCTGCTAAGCACCCGGCTGATTACGGTTGGATAGATGATATAACGTATCTAATACAATGACCCCGGATCTCTTCGTGAAGGAAAAGACTCCTTTTGACCAGCTTTTCTAGAAACGAATGCAGGTGCTCGACCTGGAACCAAATCTCTATCTATTTCACCTGGGTAGAACTTTTTTTATCTCAACTGCCCAATTAGGATCTGGGATTGGGAGAATGACTGGTACGTGCTCTGATGGAAGAACTGCCTTTGCTTGCTTTGCCACGGCATTCCCTCACCTTCACTTTCTTTGAGTCAGAGTACCTTCCGGGCGTTCTAGAAGCGTTTACCGTGGCTTAAACAATCATCGTAGGAAGGGAAAGCATGATCCCCGGCCGAAAACTTGCGTTTTCTTATGATAGATTGTACCATACCCTCCCTCTGAGTGACGTTGGCCTCGCCTTACCTTCTGATCTCAGACAGTCGTACATGTACCTTGCCTACCCATGTTCTCTTTTAGATGAATCGGCCGGTTTGATGAACCGAGAGTTTCGGGAGTTGGGGGCCACACTGAACCTGAAAAGCTTAATTTGTATCCCAGGTATTCTCAGCTTGTGAAGAGCTATCTGGCTTGTGAAGCTACCCAGCATGAACACGCTTTGGGTCAGTCCCACAGCATAGAGAAGAGGTCCTTAAAGAAAGAATAAGGAAGCGAGCGACTTTTGACAAGAAGAATAACGGACTCTCATTAGTCTCAGCCTGTCTCCCGTAACAACGGAGAGATAAACTAGGGCACAAAGTGCGTACGGCCCGTCCTACCTTTTGCTGATGCAACAGTAATAGGTGCCGGTTGTGAGGCAGCAGCGTCAGCAGCACGCTGTGGTTCTTCTACTCTTCTTATTACTAGAAACCCAGATCCTTTTGGAGAGGAGAAATGTCTTGTATCCCGCGGGGTTGCAAAAGGGATTTTGTTGAAAAAAAATAGATGCGGCTAATAAGGTTATAGATAAGTCTGGTTGGTTACTTGTCAAGTGAAGGAGATATCAGTCGGGGACTGAATCAACAAAGAAAGGTACCAGGTATCTTGTGCTTTGCCCTAAAATAAGCAGGGGAAAATGCTAAAATGGTTCACAGGGGATAGATTGGGCATGGGAAGCACCTAACTTTCTTTGTGGGTCATGAGAATGGTCATCCAATAGAGCGTTTGGTGGTAAATACATTAGTGGCTTACTAAAGGCAAGGTGAAAACAATTCCTTACTCAAGGAAGAAGTGAATTGAAGAGTCTAGAAGATGGACTTTTTCTTTCTCGTCTCGTTGTAAGCTTCATCTTCATTCCGGCTTGTCAAAAGAGCTGATCTTTGGCTCGTTCTTGGGCCTTTGATTTTTCAATCCCAAGCCCTATCCAAGGGGAAGGAGTAAGGCGGCTAGCTCCTCGCTCCTGTCGGATCGGCCCTCTCTTGTATAGTCTCCAATTCGTATCAAGAGATTGGATGTCCGGGGAAGAGTGAGAAAGGGTAGCTGCTTCTTCTTTCAAAGCCTTTAGAGACTCGTACAAAGAAGTTCCATGCCATGGCATAGCCTTCCCTGACTTAGACTCAAATGCAACCATTCCCTCCCTCACATGCATTTGCAACAGATTATAACTAAGACCGGTCATCTCCGGCCATTCTCGGCATCTTCACTAGTAGCCCTTCTTCTTCCCTACAGATCGTTTTCACTCCAGCTTAGTTTGGACTAAACTAATAAAATAAGGATGCCTATCTAAACTAAAAGAAATCCTAAATACAGGAAGAGATCCCACTCCCTCTTTAGCGCTTGTTCGTAATATAAGACTCCCTTCTCGTTCTCGGTGAAGGAATCAGAGCTGCTATAAAGCATCTTACTCTTTAACGGCAAGCTCAGCAACGATTAGTTTGACTCTGCTGGAAAGCAGTCCTTCACGGATATGGGAGCTTACTCCGCTGTTGCTGGTTTAGTAAGCTAAGCATTTCCTTCCTTTATGATTATGAAAAAGGAATGGATAGAGAGGAAGGCTCCAGGCTTCCTTTCTTTCTCTTGGTGTTAACATAGGAATGGGAGCAGTTTGAATGGATGCCTTTTTTCCCTTCCCTTGTTGAATCAGCCAAGTCAGTAGCCTTTCTTTTAAGAGGGATTGCCTGTTGATACAAGGAATAAGGGCTGCTAAATCATATGCAGTACAATAGTACTATTAGGTTAGGATTAGGTAGGCAAATGGGATTTTTCTTTCCTAGGCTCAGGAGCGTAGTAAGAGGATTTCGCTGCATAAAATCCCACATTTTCTGACTCAGACGGCACAAGTCAATGAAGCAGTAGCGCTTGATTAAGAGATGGCAGAATATTCTATTCTACTAGAGGTTCTCCCTTGTTCTTTGAATTCGATAGATTGATCAAACCATGACACTAGACGCTTAGATAAGATGTTCTGAAGAAAGATGTATCTGACTGACAGGGATTCTCCAGTTATGTAAGGTTCTCCTTTGTGACCTCAGTCCGAGAACATCCCATCCTCCGAAACATCAGACGATTTTTTGGCAGAAACAGCCTATTTTGTTTTGTTTTGTTTGGAAAAGATCCTATGTTAGCGTTAGCGTTAGGAGACATCAGATGAGTCTTAAGTGGCAGCGGGTGATGAAGCTATAGTGGGCTCCCTTCTCCTACTCCTACTTGAATCAACATATTGAGGTGAAGCAACTAGCAACTATAGACCTAATGATAAAATGGTAACTTTCATTCCCTTCTTTCCCCTTCCTTTTCTTCTATCACCAGCAGCACCCTTTGTTTGAAAGTTAAAGTAGCCTTGGAATCCTTTATATATAGACATCATTTTGAGGGAAATTAACATTGTGATGATGAAAAAGATAGACCGGTGTGTCATTGGTCTTTCGTTCGTAGTGGGATAACCTAAAGAAAAGAAAAGAAAATAAGTGAAGGAGACCCACATGCCCACTTCTCCTTCCCCGCCCCATTTCTGGGATGGGCCTCGCTCTCGCCTTTTTTTTATTTTAGGTTGGGGCTCGAGCTACTTTTTCTCCCGGGAACAGATAGCTTGCTGCCCAAGTCTACCTACTAGAAAGCCATATCGATTTCTACCCCACTCTGGGGATCCCTTATCCCCGTGGAGTACTCCTTATTTATTGAGTTGAGTTTATTGAGAAGGGGTCTTCCTCTTTCTTTGGGTCAGAGGTAGTACCAAGATTCCCTCCGCCCCGTCCATCTTGGACGTGACTTTGGAAATCTTTTAGTTCGTTGAATGCTGAATTCAACGCGGTACTAGTCTCTTAAGGACCCCCCGTTTCCGCTTCCATCTTTTTTATGAAATTGAATTGGTCTCCTGGAGTGTGGACACAAAAGTCCCGTTCAACTGCGTGTCGAACGTCGGAGACCTTTTAGCCCTCTCCGAGAGCCCCCTTGCGTTGCTCCACATTCTCTAGGAGGAGTTCGTCCTTTGTTCTAGGGCCGAGGGCTCAGGGGCTTGAGGAGTTGCTGGCTCGAGGGGATGAGCAGCAGAAGTAGTAGGGGCCAAAGCGGCGGGTCCCGGGCGAGAAGGGCTCGACAGCTCTTGGCTGACGCTTGCGTCAAAGTCAGCACCAGAGTCATCATCAGTCCCAGGTGAACCCTCACAAAAAACAAAAGACCAATCTCCTGTTAGGAGAGCCCCCACTAAACCAATTGCCAAGGTCATACCCCCAAAACCGGTTTTACAAAATAGATGGGAGAGGTCATTTGATAGTGATCGAATGGTAGCTCTTCTTTTCCATAGAAAGAGGACAAATAAGCCCAAGAAGTGGGACGGCCGTCCCACTTGGCCAGGGAAGGTTGGGACGGCCGTCTCGACTCTGGGACGGTGATCTCGACCTGTTTTGGCAAGTTTTTGTGTTCTGGGACCCCTGGGAAGCTTTCATTTCTTTATTCAGACGTCGGTTGGTGCCGATGAACGCCCGTTAAAGCTTTATCTTCATATAGGAAATCTTCTTGGGCTTTATTGAGATGTCAGGCGAGCTTTATCTTGTTGTAGGAAGTCTCTTTAGCCTTTATTGAGAGACCGGGCAAAATTAGGGGTCTACAATCGTTCATCAAGAAGAAAAGATAAAAGAGGCTCGTCAATATAGTGAAGATATGAGCCAGGCGGTACATGAGCAAATCAAGACGCTCAGAAATCATGTGAGAACAGCTGAAGATGAATTATGAAGAAAGCCTAATTTACCTATAGGATTCTTCAAGCTTCCCCGTTTTTGTCAACACCTGCTTCAAAGCATTGTATAGAAGGAATAAAAAGCATTTTTTTCCTTAAACTGTCTATTGCATTCATAAGTTGCGTACATTCATACATCCCTCCTCATTTTAATAACAAAGATAATAAAAAGGAAGGATTAATTGATGTGCTTTCAACAAATCAGAATAAATGGAAAAGAAGTCTTTCGTTATCAAAATCTCTACAACGGTCGATAGACCCAAAGATGATAATAAACAAGCACCGTTGGTTATTCCAATCGATAAAAGGGAAGAGGCAATAACGCCTTTACGTTTATTCATGCCTCATCCTTTCCCTTATTCATCAAATAAAGTTGTACCTTGGAGATACTCAGAAGAATCACTAGTTAATCAAGACATCTCCAACATAGCCGGTATTGGGGGCATGACGAGAAGCGGAAGAATATACTCCCCCAAGGAATTACAAGATAATATTCCTAAAGATAAGGCAAAAGATAAGGCTGAAGAGGAAAAAGAATCCAAGGAGGAGACAGATGAGTTACTCCAGTACATAAGACAAAGCGAGTACTCCATCATCGATCAACTCAATCGCACTCCTGCAAAGATAACCTTGTTATCACTCATAATGAGTTCTGAACCGCATCGAAACACACTGTTAAAGGTTTTGAATGAATCATTTGTTCCACATGCAATCTCCCAGGACAAATTTGAAGGAATTATTGGTAACATTACAGCCAATAATCATCTTACCTTCACAAATGAAGAACTCCCTTCAGAAGGGTCAAATCACAACAAACCCTTGCATATTTCTGTCAAATGCAAGGAATATCTCATTTCCAAAGTTCTGGTGGATAATGGGTCATCCTTAAACGTCATGCCTAAAGGTACACTTGACAAGATAACAGTGCAAGGAACCCACATGTGCCCGAGTAATACAATTGTTCGAGCCTTTGATGGATCAAGACGTGAAGTAGTAGGAGAAATTAGTCTACCAATTCAAATTGGCCCTACTATTTTTAACATAGACTTCCACGTGATGGATATCACGCCAGCATATAGTTGTCTCCTTGGTAGACCTTGGATTCATAGTTGTCGCCGCCGTCCGTTCCGACGTCCAGGGACATCACGAACGTTTATGCGAGCGGTCGCGAAAAGATGGTTAAGACTCGCGTTTTATGTTAAAATTATGTCCATTGCTTCCGAGGTGCTCAACAACTGAACTATCCTCTAATAAAAGCAAGGTTTTCGAAAAAGGGTTCTTTTGGAGTCGCCACCAATGTTTTGACCGTAAACATTGGAAAAGGATAAAAAGGCGTTGATTTTAATAAAAACCAAACTTGGCCATTATTACCAGAGTTAGGTAAGGGAGTTAGTTACGTGTGGGGAAGGTGTTAGCACCCCACAACGCCCCTTTCGGGTTCCCTATGACGGATTAATTCATTTAAGTAAAGATTACGAGAAATTACGCGATTACCCTATTTTATTGCATAATATTAAAAATGGCTATCTACATGATTTTAGTTTACATTGCATACAGAAAGCAATAAATAAAGCAGTAAAAGAGAAGAGAATTGAATAGAACCTCCGTAGCAAGCTATGTATTGCGAATCTTTAATCGTGAGGATGCGTTTTGGCAATCCTTCGCTCTACAAAGACTCTCCTCTCCGAATACAACACTGACTCTACTAAATTTTTCAGAAGAATCGAATGCTGGAATATGATTCCTTAACTGATTGTTACCTTATCAAGGCAATCTGAGAGTTCATTCGAAGAAGGAAGAGAAAAGACAAGTACTAGGAGTTGTCTGGTGTGAAACAGTGGCAAATGAGCCTCCTATTTATAGTTTTTCGCAGCCTGACACTTTGAGACGCCCCTCTGGGTTGGGACGGTCGTCTGGGTTGGGACAGCCGTCCCAACTGAACTTTTTACACATGCTGGGACCCCCTGAAGAGTGGGACTGGCAGTCTCACTTGGGACGGCCGTCCCACTTGGCCAGGGTAGCTTGGGACGGCCGTCTCAACTTTGGGATGGTGGTCTCAACCTGTTTTGGCCAGTTTTTGTGTTCTAGGACCCCTGGGAAGCTTTCCTTTCTTTATTCGGACGTCGGTTGATGCCGATGAACGCCCGTTAAAGCTTTATCTTCATATAGGAAGTCTTCTTGGCCTTTATTAAGATGCCAGGCAACCTTTATCTTGTTGTAGGAAGTCTCTTTAGCCTTTATTGAGAGACCGGGCAAAATTAGGGGTCTACAGCTGCCCCCCCTTCACCTGCCTGCCTAATTTGTTGGCTTAATATGCCGACAAAATTAGATGGTAGGGGAAGGAGTTAACCCTTTTGCCCGGTTATCCTTCAGATGCTTCTTTGCTGATCCTCCAGATGATAAATATTTTTGATAGGTACCAACCCCTATCTCGTTTGAGCCATACTTTATAAGGCTCTGGTGAGTACTTACCCTCACCCGGTATGAGTCTGCATTTCACTAGACTCTTATGGGTACCTACCCCCACTAGGTATGGACCTTGTTTTGCAAGGCTTTGGTGAGTACCTACCCTCACCTGGTATGAGTTTGCATTTTGCTAAACTCTTGTGGGTACTTACTTCCGAGGTGCTCAACACTAGAACTATCCTCTAATAGAAGCAAAGTATTTGCAGCCCATTTTTGTAATGCTTAGGTGAGTATTTTACTCCACCTAATGCATTTTGCTAAGTTTTGATGAGTACCTACCCTCATCCGGTATAAACCCTATTTTATAAGGTTCTGGTGGGTACCTACCCCCACCTGGTACGAATCTGCACTTTTGCTAGATGCTGATGAGTACCTACCCTCATCCGGTATAAACCTTATTTTTTAAGGCTTTGGTGGGTACCTACCTCCACCTGGTACGAATCTGTATTTTGCTAGATTCTGATGAGTAGCTACCCTCATCCGGTATAAACCTTATTTTATAAGGCTTTGGTGGGTACCTACCCCCACCTGGTACGAATCTGCATTTTTGCTCGATTCTGATGAGTACCTATCCTCATCCGGTATAAACCTTATTTTATAAGGCTTTGGTGGTTACCTACCCCCACCTGGTACGAATCTGCATTTTTGCTAGATTCTGATGAGTACCTACCCTCATCCGGTATAAACCTTATTTTATAAGGCTTTGGTGGGTACCTACCCCCACCTGGTACGAATCTGCATTTTGCTAGATTCTGATGAGTACCTACCCTCATCCGGTATAAACCTTATTTTATAAGGCTTTGGTGGGTACCTACCCCCACCCGGTACGAATCCGCATTTTTGCTAGATTCCGATGAGTACCTACCCTCATCCAGTATAAACCTTATTTTATAAGGCTTTGGTGGGTACCTACCCGCACTTGGTACGAACCCTATTCTATAAGGCTCTTGTGGGTACCTACCCCCACCTGGTACGAACCCTATTCTATAAGGCTCTGATGAGTACCTACCCTCACTCGGTACGAACCCTATTCTATAAGGCTCTTGTGGGTACCTACCCCCACCCGGTACGAACCCTATTCTATAAGGCTCTTGTGGGTACCTACCCCCACCTGGTACGAACCCTATTCTATAAGGCTCTTGTGGGTACCTACCCCCACCTGGTACGAACCCTATTCTATAAGGCTCTTGTGGGTACCTACCCCCACCCGGTACGAACCCTATTCTATAAGGCTCTTGTGGGTACCTACCCCCACCTGGTATGAACCCTATTCTATAAGGCTCTGATGAGTACCTACCCTCACCCGGTACGAACCCTATTCTATAAGGCTCTTGTGGGTACCTACCCCCACCTGGTACGAACCCTATTCTATAAGGATCTGATGGGTACCTACCCCCACCCGGTATGAACCCCGTTCTGTAAGGTTCTTAACGAGCCCCGTTCTGCAAGGCTCTTAGGATGCACTTTTTTGGTATTCAGTCTTTTGATTAATGAGTACAAACCCTCATCTGGTTTTTGGAGATGTGTTGGCGGCTTATTGTCTTTGATCATGTGCCTATTCCATGGGGAATGATTGATTTTCTTTTTGAATTTTCTTTTTTAGTCATCCGTTTTTACCGGGGATTTTTTTTTTGGCTTTTCTTTTTAGCCATCAGGTCTTGTCGGAGATTTTTGTTTTTTGGCTTTTCCTTTTAGCCATCCGGTTTTACCGGGGATTCTTTGTTGGTTGCCTCTTATTTAGGCGGGAATCCACTGGGGATTTGTTGATTTTTGTTGGTTGTGCCTCTTGATTAGGTAGATGCTTCAATAGTGTTGAAGTCTTTATACTTGTTGTTTTTCGCCTCTGAATAGGCTGATGTTCTACTGGAGGATATTTGTTCTTGATAATACCTCTGAGTAGGCGGGTGCTTTTTGAAAGCTTTATGCTTGTATTGCCTCTTCCATAGGTTGATTTCCCATTTCTTGGGGATATCAGCTCTTTGCTTGCCTCTGAGTAGGCATAGGTATTCTTGGGAGTGAAGGTT